GCTTCGCTTCTCGGGCAAATATTTGTTTTAAGAACATCAAATTTCCGCGGGGCAACTATCAGCCGATAGTCCCTCGACAGAAACGCTCTATTGTATAAATAGATAGTGAATAGCGTAGCCAATCAGAGAACGGTATTTGTGATAGAATGCTAGTAGATTGATACTAAACTTGATAGAAACATGAAACACAATTTTCTATTTCTTAGTCAGTGTTCCAGGTAAGTTTTGATGGAGTCAATATCTTGATAATAATATTCTTTATGTATGGATTATTATTAATGCATGGAGTAATCATCTTGTGGTACCAGTCTTTATTACTCTTACTACGGGCAATAAAATAATCTTCAGTTGATACCACTCAAAGAGCAACTAATTTTATTTATGAATATACAGTCATGTACCGTCAGGAATATATTTCTACATACACGTAGATGCCTTTGGTTCATTTCCTATTTTCTCACAAATTCTGAAAAACAAACGCCATTCAACTTCTTATAAAACTATCTTTGACTTAGTAAATAAACACAAAAAGATGCAGAATAATCGTGTTTATATTAATTGATCGTGCTTAATATATAAAGTAATCTTGTTTATTTATGCTCTCACTATAAATTGGTGTTTGTCTGCATTTTAGGATAACTTTAAATGTAAAATAAGTATTAATATTTTTTTTGGCAATATTTCACTTAGTACTAGGAGCAATTTACATGTCACTGAGTATATACTGTTCTGTGTTCATCTCAAACAGTCTTACAAAATAGTGGATTCTACATAAGTACATCTATGTAATGATCTGTTCAGACAAAGATTTTAGTACAGTCATTGATAACAGCAGCTTCTGTTTGCAAAATTATGTTTTCTATGAAGTAATCTTCACTTCACTCTTACAGAAGGTAGTAAAGACATCAATTGTATTGTTCAAATACAGTAGAACCCCATAATCTGTCACCAATGGGCCACAAAAATCTAAAAAGTCACTGACTGAGCTTTTGTTCAGGTCTGAATAAAGTGTCTGTAATGAGGTGCTTTTTGAC